TCGCGATGGTGGAACTGCCCGAGGGGAGAGAGCGCAAGCTGTGGAGCACCACCAGGACGCGGAGGCCGCGACTGCTCCTGCTAGGGACACAGCTGCCATCTCTGTCACACAGTGCCTGGCAGCTGGGCAACCCCATCACTTGTTGGCTTCAGCCTCGACTCTCTTTTAGATCAGGCAGCAGCAATGTGAAGCTAGAGGTTCAGTGCTGAAACCCCGTTGAAAGGCCTAGTGTGAAACAAGCTGAGGAGAATAAGCACCCATGGGGAGTGAGAGAGAAGGCACCGAAAGCAGCACAAGCAGAGGGCAGGGGCCCTCGGCCACTCACCGGCAGCATGGCGTTGAAGAGGTGAGTGATGAAGGTAGCGCCCTGCTGCACGGCCTCCTCTGCCTGCGAGAGATTAGCCACCGAGTGACCTGCAAACAAAAGCCACTGCTTCATGCTGTTCTTCCTGTTTCTTTCTCCGCTTAGCTACCCAAAGAGACACCCAAGAATCCGACACTAGCACACTGTTCTTATCCCCCCACTACGTACGAGATGCCAGCCTTGCCACAGGTATCTGGCAACGACTCTACTTGTGGATGTCACCTGAACAAATGTGTGGTTCGTACTGTAATAACCACAAATGCTGCCTTGGTCCCAAAAGAACTGGGGAGTTGGTCTTTGACTAGCCCGGAGGTCCTAGGGCCATTCTGCTGTCCTTGGGTATTTAAGGGCTAGATATGGGGAGGATGTATGTCAAGGAGAATAGAGAGCCATGGGGTACTTTGCCAAGAAAGAAGGTGTGGATAATACGCAGCCCAAAGCAAACAATTTTGTTTTTCCCAACACAGACAGCAGCTTAATGCTCTATGGGTGAACTTTACCTTTCTGAAGTTCCTCTCCTTGTCTGCGCTGTAAGGTAAGAACTGTGGGCTCTGCTGTACAAATATCCATTTTGCATAAGGTTCAATTTCACTCTGAATAAAAATCCCCCTTTTTTTTCCCCAACTGATCCAAGGCAAAAAAAGAATACATAAAATGGGACCAGAAAAATGTGGCCAGTTTTCAGTCAGTAGCCTGCAAAACAGTGGAGGAAAACATCTCCCGGACCATTTCCGGCTGAAAAAAATCGAGTTATCAGAACTCAGCAGCAACCTTTGGAAAACTCATGTTGCCTGTCAATAAGGCCTAAAGCAGCTGAACTTCAGAGTTTGAACCCTTCCAAGGAGTCGTTATTAAATGGAAAAGAAAAAAAAGCTGCCATTCCTTCCTGCATTTGAACAGCACCAGCACTACTGTGTGTTAAAGCGCAGGGGCTCTTTAATTGATATGAAATTTGATGCCATGGAAAGGGAGACAAATCTTCAAGATCAACCTGTGCCCCAGCTTGTGACAAGTCTGTCACCCCCGTGCAGACCAGGACTGCTGCCGGTGACCCAGGAAAGTCACTACCCTGCAAGGGCTCCTAGCACTCCTGGGAAACGGAGAGCCTCCCTAGCCTTGGAGGGGGCAGCCACAGCAACCCCGCTCCGCATCGGTGGCACCAGGACACGATTTTATGGTTGCTGTGGCCCTGAGGGAAGAGGCTGCCCGGCCCACGCTCTGTGCAGCACAGGGAGGTCACCCCGAGTGTCCCCGAGCCTTGGCAGTGGCCGTACCAAGTGAGACGCGGATGCCCCGCCGGGTGAGCTCACGAATCACCTCGCTGCTCCTCTGCATCTCCGGGGCCAGCGTGACTATGCGGACACAGTCGAGGCTCCCGTAGGTGGCAAGCAGGTCCTGGAAGGCGCCGGCCTCGAAGGTGCGGAGGCAGCGCTCCGGGTGTGCCCCCTTCTTCTCCTTGCTGATGAACGGTCCTTCCAGATGGACCCCTGCCCAAACAGCAACAGTGAGCCAGGGCTCTCCCAACCGGACTAGGGAACCTGCTGCTTCAGTCCCACTCTAGTCAAGCTGCTGGTGCCCTACCTCTGCAAAACACCCTGTCCAGGCAACTCTGAGCAGGAGCAATGGCAGAGACCTGAGTGAGAGTAAGATTTCGCCCCACTCACTTTTATTTTTGCTCCAGCTCTCTCCGCTGGTAACCAGCTCCCCCCTGCCCCAAAATGAAATAGCTGCTGGCAGTCCCCAATCTCTGCTTTCCCTCAGCTCAGGCCTTGCAAGATCACTTCCAAAGCCCATTTCCAGGCTGTGCTCCCCTGGCAGTCCATTCTGGGATGGGGCTATGAAGAGCTCTAAGTAAGATCCCAGGACGGCAGCCTTCCCAAAGAGGTATCCCAACCAATTTTTCAGGGTAGTGGGGGAAATCAATCCCCTGAATACCCAGCAAACAACAAAAGTCTCTGGATTGCAGCACTCAGCATGGTAGAGATGGAGCACTGGCCAAGCCGGCAGCACGCTGCCATTATCCTGTCTGGCCCAGAAGTGCTGGAGTTGTGCGTGTTCAGAGGCAGAGAACACAGCAAAGGCCAGGGAAAGGCCGAGGGAGAAAGCAGGTCTGTGCCTGCCTGTGCATCTTTCCCACCACCGGCCCCCAATCGGTCTTTCCCCACTCTAGCTTCTTCTCCCATAATGAGGAAAAAGTTAATTATCCTCCTACGGCAGCATGAGAGAAGCAAAAGCACTTACCCAGAACACCTGCTCCATGGGCTCCACCGTTTCTTACACTGATCTGAGGGAGGATCTAGAAAAGGGAGGTTTGTCAGAGCCTTGCAGATGTAGAAACCCAGCTTACCCTGCTGAGATACCCCTGGAGCTGCCCCAGCAGAGCAGCAGCCCTCGGTACCAACAGCAAGGGCTGATGTTTGCCATACAAACCCAGCTGGTTCTGCTCAGGGGAGCACCCTGAAGCATCTCCCCTAAGCAGAAACAGCCACATCTCTGTTCCTGGTGAGACAGAGGTGAAAGATTTCCCTCCAAATCCTTGGGTTCCTGCAGAGCTTGGCAGGTGGAGCACTGGGGACCATTAGCCAAATGCAGCTCGCAAAAAAAGAGCAAGCCGCAAGCCCCACTTGTGCCAGGCAACTGCTAGGAGACATCGCTGACTTGATGAATATTCGACTTGAATAGTTGAAAGGTTAGGGCCAAAAATCAAGGACTTGGAGTCCAGTTGCTCATGGCTTTGCTTTCAAGGCAGCTACCTCAGCCACCAAAGAGTGGGGCTGCAGCCTCAGCCTGCAGAGCTTCATCACCCTGGGGATGTGTAGGGAGGAACTCCTCTTACCTGGTGGTACACAGATGGGGGAGAAGTCACCAGCGTGGGGCAGAAGGAGGTCACTCCATGGGAGAGGATTTTCTGACTGACCAGGTCGATCCCTGATTTGAAGTCATCGGTAGCCAGGGAGAAGTCAACCCCAAAGCCTCCTGCAGCATGAACAAAACAGAAATGAAGGCAGCAGCCTCCTCATGACTTCCCCTCCAGTCAAATAGTGACAGGGTACTCTGAGAATGTGTTACGTTCTCCCACCCAAAAATGCTTCAGAATTATTTTGCATGACAAGATGAAACCACTCCATTCATATCTGCAATGACTGGACCCCAAGAGCTCTATCAGCACTTGTGTTTTACATTCTCAAAGCTCTCAAAGCACAAATCCAACCAACACTGTCCTGTTGAAATGTTTTTTGCCACAACATCCCAGGGGGTTGCAAGAAATACCAACTTTTCATTTTGACTCAGGGGAAAAATGTAATTTTGAAACCCATTAAAGAAGAGAGCTGATTTTTGTCATGATCTAGCACAGCCCTTCTCAGCATCCAAAAAAGAGCTACCGCTGATAAAATCTGTTCCTTTGACAAGTCCCACTCCAATCCTCCACATGCAAGAGAAAAGAAACTATGGATTAAAAAGAAGTTAAGAGGAAAGCTGGGTCCAAAACCCCACAGGGCCAAAGCATCAAAATGCATCCATTTTGCAACAGCAGTAACCATGGGCAAAATGGCTCTTTATCATGAGTTTGGTGACTCACATCTCCCTCAAGCAGCTGTCACCCTGCTCAGATAAATTAAATTGCAGGACTCACACAGTGAAAAACAACGGACATACCTGGGAACCCCCTATCTCAGGGTGGCTTCTCCTTACCATTGATCTGCACATCTATGAAACCAGGGGCAATGATGCTGTCCTTGCAGTCCAGCTGGATGTCGGCAGAGCCCTTCTCGTCAAAGAAGAGCTTCTCCGGGTTGAGGATCTTCCCTTCTCGCACCCACAGGTCCTCCCTGCATGGACAGTCAGGCACACGCTGCTCCTCCTGGCAGCAGGAGAGGGGCCCCGACTTCTCCACACACCACAAACCCTCCTTATTTCCCCAGATCTGCTACATTTTCCAACTGCAATCTCCGATTTTGTGTAGGGACCTGGAACTACGTGGGAAAAGGAGGTCAAGCGACGGGCGACCACAGCTTACAGGACAGGCAGGGAAATTGAATGGCTTTGCTTCCCTGGTCAGAAGCTGCCTCTTTGCAAAGTACCTGACACCTACAAAGGGCTGTGCTCAGGAACGCAGCAGAGACACAACCAGCGACCAACTGCCTCTCTACTTGGCCTCTAGTTTTATGAGGCTCACTTGATAATCCTGAGCCCTCTGTCAAACGGCCAAAGGGCCGAGAGCTGACTGACCGGATTGCATGAGAGACAAGTGAAAGTGGAGGGGGCATGTTAGACGTATGATGAACACATCACCCTTCCTTCAAGGATCAGGCCAAGAGCTGGGGCTGTGGGGGACAAGAAATGCTGGGAAGCAGGTCATGCGAACCTGGAGTCACGTCCTAAGAAAAGTGGATCTTCTGCCTGGGACGTGCCTGTGTTCAAGGTCACCTCTGTGGGCCTCAGCAGGAGGCAGCGCCCAGCAGAGCCCACTCACCTTTGCAGCTCGTGATTCCTCAGGATACGGCAGTTTGTAAACTGGAAGATCGGTGCGTCCGAGACAGATTTATTAGATGGCATTATCGGGGCTGGGAGGAGAGCGACCTGCAAGGGGCCAGGGAGACAGCGCTGAGGACTCGGAACGGGGTCCGGGGACGAGTGGCGAGGCAGCAGGGGACGAGGGTGCCGAGGAGGGGACACGATGCGGGGACACGAGCAGGAGAGGCCGAGGGGATAGGCCCAGGAGGGCACTTGGGTGGTGGAGCAGTCCCCCACCCCCGCCGCTAGCCGGGGGGAAGGGGGGCCCGCGCGCG